ATTGGCACTGGATATGATTCATAACTGGGGCCTCCAGTGGGGTTTTAAGTTTTCCACAAGAAAGAGTATTGGGGTAATTTTTTCACGAAGGAGAATGCCGAACATCAGGCTAACTCTAGACCACCACCCAATACCTATTCAAAATTCTGTTGGATTTCTCGGTCTACTTTTTGATCGTAGACTTAATTGGAAAGACCACATTGGTCAATTAAAGAATAAATGTCAAAAAGCACTAAATTTATTAAAGTGCATTTCTGGAAATAAATGGGGAGCTGATAGAAAGTCTTTGCTAATGGTATATAAAGCCCTGATTAGGTCTAAAGTAGACTATGGGTCAATCGTGTATGGTTCGGCATCGGCCTCAACTTTGAAAGGTTTGGATGTGTGCAGAATGCATGTGTGCGTAGTTGTCTTGGAGCCCTCAAATGCATAAGGATTGAGCGTCTAGAGGTGGAGTCAGGAGTACCTCCCCTCCAACTCAGACGCGGCCAGCTGGCGCTGACCTATGCCGCGAAGGTGGCTCGAGACCCAAGCCACCCTAATGGTAATGGTGCCATTAGGCCCTTTATTTCAAGACTCGACGACCTCATCCTTAAAGTCGGTATAGATCTCTCTACCGTCGATACCATGGTTCATACAAATATAGCGCCATGGGAAACGCCCAATTTTTCCATCATGGAAGCTTGGCTTCCATCGACCAAGGCCATGGCGCCGGAGGTGGAGGTACGCCAGAGGTTCAGAGAGATCCTTATAAAACATCTTCCTTTTTTCATATATATACCGACGGCTCCAAGACCGAGCAAGTAGTGGGTGCAGGTGTATGGTCGAATGAATGTGAGTTGAGATTCAGACTGCCGAATCATACATCGATCTTTATTGCCGATACTTTTTGCAATTGATAAAGCCATTGATTTTGCACTATCGACGACCCACGATAGAATAGATTTTTTCTGATTAAGTTCACTTAAAGCCATTAAATCCTTAGAAACCACTCAAAATGAACTGCTGGGTAATATCATTCGTAAGCTACATAGTGCCAACAAATCAATCAAGCTGATATGGGTGCCAGGCCACTCTGGTATCCATAGCAATGAACAGGCTGACCGACTAGCCGGGTCAACTGACGATCTGGACCTTAGCATAGTCCGGACAGATCTCAGGTGTTTTGTGTCTCTTTTAAAAGCAAAAATCCATCTCCTGTGGCAAAGTGAGTGGACCAACCTGCAACTACCTAATAAAATCAGACAGGACATTGAAACGTGGGACACAGCCCACAGAAAAAATAGAAGGGAGGAGGTGGTATTGGCTCGTCTTCGAGTCAATACTACAAGATTGACCCACCTCACTCCCTACATAGAAAAAAGATTCCCTCCACAGTGCCCACATTGCACATTAAGCCTTACAATAAAGCGCATTTTTATAACATGCCATAATTACAATAACAACAGACAAAAAATTAAAAACCATTTCAGAATAAATAATATAAATTATACTTTATCAAATATATTATCAAATAATGAAAAAATAATAAGTAAAGTAATAGCTTCTCTAAGGGAGACAAAACCTTATGACCTTATTTAGATTGAAAGAATAAATAGGATCCATTGGCTTAATAACCTTGGCCACAAAAAAAAAAAAAAAAAAAAAGACAAGGCAGAGAGAGAGAGCGCGGCAAAGCAACTACTGCTTCTTCAACTCTTGTCCGAGTCCTGTCCTGTCCCACGACAATTATTGTAAGCGTGTGGGGAAATCCTTATATATATTTCTGATTTGAGAGAGTTTATAAAGAAAATATACGTATCTTGATTTTTTTTTTTTTTTTACTACCATACAAGATAAATTCTTGTAACCTGGAGCCTCCTGGAAATCTTACTTATATGAAAAAGATAAATAATTAACTTCTACTATCAAATAAGAAATAATAAATTTTTATAAATGAATGAACTTTGCCACGCCTACCACATTGCTTTCTGATATACTACAAACTGGTGTTGCAGCGGTAAGATAAGGTTACAAGCGCTTTGCTTTATTTAAGCTCTTAGTATGGTTTTTACTTTATTAAATTCACTTAAGGCATTATAATTCTTGTTAGCTTTCTTGAATAACTTATAAGCTGAAATAGCCTTGGCTAACGTGCTTTCTAGCTTTCTTGTTGCAATTATATTAACTTTAATGCTGACAACTTCTACTTTTATTTGATTTTTCTTATATTCTGATCAATGTACAAGTCAAGTGTTATTAGTCTCTTCCTTTTGTGCTCGCTGTTCTCTCTCTCGTCTCATTGCATTGATACTCTTGGGTTTGCATTTATGCATTGTTGAATGTTGCTGTGTTAATTTTTTATGTCGATAATTCTTTTGGTGGCGGTATTAGTACTTTCTTGTATTTCGTTTCGTATGATCTCGGTATATAACTATACTAGTTTAACTTCATTCGGTGAAAATTTGTCTTGTTGATACTTAGATTGTTCGCTCGACATTTATCATGGGTAGAAAAACTCGCAATAGGAATTATAAGTCACTAGACATGAGTGATGATAAATACGAAGAAGTGATGAACAAGTGTAAAGAACTTGAGAAAAAGTTAAGTGATTTACAAAAGGAGAACGAAAATCTCAGTGCTTGTTTAGAAATTGCGAACGCGCATAAAGAGTTTGCAAGTTCAACACCCCTCCCATCACCTTTGCCTAATGTCGTACTCGAGAAAAGTTCAGTACCTTACTTTGAAGCTCGTACTCCTGCATCAAATCCCCTTAAGAGAAACATGGAAGTTGAGTACTGGCTTAGACAAATAGAGCTAATTACGAGAGTAAAAGATGATGCAACATTAATAAACGCAGCTAGGTTACATTGCAAGGGAGCTGCAGAGCTGGTGATTAATTCTCCTCTCTTTGAAAATGTAGTTACTTGGCAAGATTTCAAAAATCTAGTAAGAAAGAAATTCCGTGGTACAAGCACTTCTGTAGACTTTTTCCGTTTCTTGAATGAAATTATATTAGCTCCTCATCAATCTCCTCAAGATTTGTATATTGAAATTCAAGGTTACGTCTATCAAGGTTTGAGAGATTATCCAGTAGCCGTGGGTAATGCTGAAGAGCTGATCACGAGGATTTTCTTGCAGTCGCTTCCTCTTGGGTTACGTGAAATGGTGATGATAAGGTCGGATGCTCCTGTTGACGAATTGGTTGATACAGCGGCTAAAATTTGGAATTGTAGATCTGCACGTAAACAGAATTCTCGTTCGCAAGTTGCAGTTACCAATGACAAGGATGAAATTTACTGCGCCTTCCATAAATGCAAAGGTCACTCCACAGCTTCCTGTAGAGCTAAACCACCCGGTAACGTATGCTGGTCTTGCGGTAACCCCGGGCATCAACGTCGATCGTGTCCCTTTTCAGCAAGCCAGGCTTCATCGACCTCCCCATCGGTGGACGCCGCAGGCCTTTCCTCGGGATGCCACTAACATGCATAAGTCTGCAGTTACAACGGGTCCAGTTAATGACTCGGTTTCTGAAAGTTTTTCTGAAAGATGCCATATACCTAATTCTGTGCCATTTAATTCTAAATATATTAATCCTATTTCTGATACACCTACAGGACGACCACTTATTCAGCTATTTTGTGATCGGTCTAGGAAAGAAGCCTTTCTCGACACGGGTTCTTCAGTTTCTTTGGTAAAAAGGACTTCTCTGGAAAACGTTTCAAGCAGAATACACCCCTGTGTGAAATCCTTAACAGACGTCTCTGGATCAACATTGCAAACAGGAGGTGAAGTTGACATTGACATTCAGATTGCAGGTATGAGTTGCAAACACAGATTTGTGGTAACAGATTATCTAAAGTTTCCGGTGACGTTCTCTTGGTATGGACTTCCTGAGAAGATTTGACTTCAAAATGGTACATAAACGTTCACCATGCAGATCTTATCTAATACTGCAGGATATCAGGTTACCTTTGAAATACACTGATAATGTCTCATGCCATATCCAGAGTGTCAACTCGTCCAAACCTGTTTCTACTATATCTCTTCAGAAGCTGTTCTTATGCCCATGTGCACAGGACTACAGTATGCCCTCCTCATTCAGGACGTTTTATTCAAGCTTCCGTATCAAACTCTTCTCTCTTGAAAAATGTAAGTGACGTTTTCATTTCTGGTTTGATGACCTCCATACTGATTCCAAGAAGCATAGTCAAGAATAAAGATGGGAAAGTTGATATATGGATAGTTAATGACTCTGCTCATGCTCTGAAATTGCGTACGGGCACACGCTTGGCTGAAGTTGAGCCCAGAGAAAGGAAAAACCCCACAGATTTCTCTATTGAAGAAGGAAAACTTAAACATTTGCCTCCTAAATCACGTAAGAACTTGAAAGATATCTTGCTTAAATATAAGAGTTTGTTTTCTGGTGAAAAGTCGGCAATTGGAACCATTCCAGGTGCAGTTCACAGAATCATCACAGCAGATAGTACGCCAATCTGCACCAGGCAGTGGAGATTACCACACTCTGCAAAGGAGGTAATAAAGAAGACCTGCCAAGAAATGTTGGATGCCCAAGTCATAGAGCCATCATGTTCTCCTTGGTCCTCGCCAGTCGTTCTAGTAAGGAAACGAGACGGTAATCTGCGTTTTTGTGTAGATTATCGTAATCTGAATGCTAAAACTGTAAGTGATTCATATCCATTACCAAGAATTGATGAAATTCTAGATGATCTCCGTGACAATACTTATTTTAGTATTCTAGATGCAAGAGCTGCTTACTGGAGTATAACAGTTGCTCCAGAAGACCGTGAGAAAACGGCCTTTTCAGATGGGTCCAGATTATGGCAGTTCAGACGAATGCCATTTGGCTTGAAGACTGCCCCTGCAACCTTCCAAAGAATTATAAATATGGTCTTATCTCCTGTGCTAGGGAGACATACTCTAGCATATTTAGATGATGTAATAATTTTCTCTAAAGACTTTGAACAACATTGCCATCATCTAAACGAAACCTTTCATTAATGAACAAAGCAGGCCTAAAATTGAACTTGGATAAGTGCAGTTTTGCAGTTAAAGATTTTAAGTTTCTGGGATTCAAAATTTCTACAAATGGTATATCTCCTGACCCAGATAAGGTTCGGTCTATTAATGAACTTCCTCCACCCACAGACGTAACTGGAGTTCGTAGATTTTTGGGATGCGTTGGCTTCTTTCGGCGCCACATTCCAAACTTTGCTACCATTGCAGCTCCATTAAGCTCTCTCACCAGAAAAGGCCAGCCATTTAAATGGAATGCAGAACATGATGCATCTTTTCGTCAGCTTCAACATCTTTTAACACAGCATCAGTATTGCGAAGACTTGATTTCTCTGCTCTTTCGAACTCCACACAGATGCTTCAAGAGTGGGTATAGGTTCTTGCCTCATGCAAGTTAATTCTGAAGGTAACCCCTGTGCTGTTGCTTATTACTCACGTAAGTTGAGGGGTCAGAAATTCGTTACAGCGTTACTGACTTAGAGGCTCTTGCCATAATAGAATCTGTGAGACACTTTGATGCATTTGTATGTAAATCCTTTACCATTATAACAGATCACAGGCCATTAACTTATATTTTCACCCGAAGGACCAAGTCTCCACGTATGTCTCGCTGGTCCCATGAGCTGATGGAATACTCCTACCGCATTGTTTACAGAAAGGGATCTATTCACCACGTTCCTGATCTTCTAAGCCGTGACATTGCATCTATTGACCTTGCCATAGCTGAACCAACTGCTCTTCGAGAGGCACAACTTAAAGACCCCGTGTGGCATGAAGTTATAAAATTTCTGGAAGGTTCTGCACTGCCACAAAAACGTCTCCCAACATTCTTAGATGAGTTTGAACTTAAAGATGGTGTGTTATATCATCTAAAGGTATGTTCTGACAAGATTATTCATAGGTTGGTTATACCTAAGACACTTCAGAAGGAAGCTATAAGAATATCTCATGATTCCACTATAGCAGCCCACCCTGGTATTTTCAGGACATACCACAAACTAAAAGAGCATTACTATTTCCAGAACATGCTTTCAGCTACAAAGCAATATGTCAACGCCTGTCTTCCATGTCAAAAGAGAAGAGGAGTGTAAAGCTAAATGCTCCGCTTTCACAAATACCTGTTGTCACTTCTCCTTTGGATAGAATTAGTGCAGATCTGATGGATCTCCACAGCTCATATAATGGAAACCGCTATCTTCTCTCCATAATAGACCACATGAGCAGGTATTTGCAACTTATTCCTCTTCCAAATAAGAGTGCCCAGACAATAGCTGATGCCTTTGTGGAACATTATTTCACACTATTTGGAGTTCCTAGAATGTTAACTACAGACAGTGGTTCAGAATTCAAGAACAAATTATTTTCTGAAGTCTGTGACATTTTAAGCATTAAAATGCATTATACAACGCCTTTTTATCCTCAGGCGAACGGCTTGGTCGAAAGAAGCAATAGATGCGTAAAAGATGCTATAGCTACTCTCTGTGATGATGCCCCCTTGTCATGGGATGAATATGTACCCCAAGTGCGGTATGCTCTTAACACGGCTTTTCACAGAGCGATTAATAATCAACCTTTGTTCCTGTTTATGGGTCATTCATGCTCTTATCCAATTGGGCTCACCAACCGTGTTACCATGAATGAAGATGATACAAGTACCGATCATCTTCTCAGACTTCTCAAGGCTCGAGAAGTAGCAGCTGAAACTTCTTGCAAAACACGAGAAGAAAATGCTAAATACTACAATCGAAAGTTCGTGAACGGAAAATTAATGTCGGATCTCTCGTTATGCGACGGTCTCATGATCAAGTTCAAGGTGTTAGTCGTGCTCTGCACCCTAGGTGGTTGGGTCCGTGTAGAGTGAGTCGTTGACCAGTCCAGTAACTTTTATCGTTCGTGATTTGTCCCCACCATTTGCTGAAAGAAAGGTTCATGCGAACCAGTTAAAGTTGTTTTCTTGTGATGCTGAATTTTCGTTGTTGCCACAGGATTCTGATTCTCCTGTATTGTCTGATTCTCCTGTTCGGTTTGATTCTCCTCGGTTGCACCCTATGATAACTCGATCTCAAATCATGAAATAATATATAGATTTCCTCTATGTGCCTTACTAATTGTCGTTTTTTTTCAGTTTGTTTACTCGTCTTGAGTTACGCCTGCTTGTGTGTCCGCAGTTGTTCCATGTTTGTCTGTATCCCATCCCTGCCTGGATCCTGGCCAGTGAAGTTGCTGTCAAGACGTCCAGCCTCAGACGAACTTCGAAACCCGTGAACCTGCGCTGAGGGCCGCCAGACCATCCCGAAGACTGATGGGCCGCCTCCCGTGGATAGGGTTCTGGAGGAAGACTCGCCGCTTTCCGCGAGGTCTCGCCTGATGCTGAGCTGAGGCTTTCCGTCTCTTCTGCCGTGGGAGATGTTGTAGTGAACAAGAACAAGCAAAAAGCGCCGTAACATACTCAAGACGCAGTCCGCCAATTCGAGTATGCAAACGAGTAGGCAAACAAGTCCGCGCCGTCTTGGAAGTGGGAATTACCCGTATATATACCCCTCGTTCCGCCAAGACAGAGAGAGAGGAGGAGCGAGGCAACTACTGCTTCCACTGTTGTCCGAGTCCTGTCCTGTCCCACGACAATTATTGTAAGCGTGTGGGGAAATCCTAATAATATTTTTGATTTGAGAAGAGTTCTAAGAAAATATACGTATCTTGACTTAATATCTTTTTTTCTTTTTACTACCATACAAGATAAATTCTTGTAACCTGGAGCCTCCTGGAAATCTTACTTATATGAAAAAGATAAATAATTAACTTCTACTATTAAATAAGAAATAATAATCTTTTATAAATGAATAAACTCTGCCACGCCTACCACCTTGCTTTCTGATATACTACCACACTGCCAGTGACATGCGTCAGAAGCATTGGATTCCTCCACGCAGAAGTTGGACCAGCCGACATTCGCCTGTGAACGTTTAGGGAGCCGAGGCCGTTGATGTCAACATAGTAATGAGATGGGTTCATGGGAGTGACAAATCGCGCTCCGGCCGTCCTTCCACAACTACCACTCCGGAAAATGCAGTCGCCTCGATCACCTTATCCGTGTCAATCGGCGGATGACGGTATTAAAATGCATGCAGAGTTGGATGTGGATGTCATTGCACTAGAAAGGATGGTATCATCCAAATCTGCACGTATTACATGACGTGTGTTCGTGAGTGGGGTGTGTGTGTTTTTCATGCACGTGTGTGTTGTGTTTTCACGTCTCTCTGTGTGTACTTCATTTATTTTTTTAAAAATATATAGATTATAGATAATTATATATAATTATTATTTTTGTAGGGATAGAGGGCGAGGGATGAATGGGGTAGGGGGGGGGAAGGGTGGGTGGGAGAGGGGATGGGGAGGGATGGGGGAAGGTGGGGGGGGAGGGGGAGGGGGGGGATAGGGGGGAGGTGGGGGGGGGGGAGTGGGGAGGGGAAGGGAAGGGGAAGGAGGCTGAGGAGGGTGTAGGAGGGCAGGGGGGGGGGAGGGGAGGAATAGGGAGAAAGGATGTGAAGGGGAGGAATGGTAAGATTTGAGAAAGATAAAGTGTAGTAGGTTTGAAAGGGAGAGGAAGGGAATGAGGAATCAAGGGGAGGAAAGATTGAAAAATGGGGGAGTAGAGTGAGAGATTGGGGAAGGGAGTGGAAGGGAAGAGGGAAAAGATGATGAGGAGGATGAGAAAGAAAAGTAGATGGGATGAAAGATTAGATGGCGCAGGAGCAGAGGATAAAGCAAGAGATATTGTGTAGGTTGACTAAGAGAATGGAAGACGATGGGGAGGGAATGGAAATAATGAGATGAGGGAAGAGGAAGATAAAAGAGATATGAGATGGATGAAAGAGAGACGAGCATAGGAATAAGAAAGACTTGAAATATGAAAGATTATATCGATATAGCAAGAAGATGAGGAGAGAGTTGAAAGAGAAATGAAACGGAAGTAGAAAAGGGAGGAAAGGACTCAGGGATATGGGAGATAAGAGGAAAAAGAGAATAAGCATGATGGATAGAAGGAGGAGGGGGAGAGAGAGGATAAGATGAGTGGAAGATAACGAGTTGGGATAGATGGAGGGATAGAGTAGAGGAACGAGGTATGGAATGGTAGCGAGAAGACAANTTTTTGGGAAACACTGTATGTATGTATATATATCTAAACTTAACTTTTTATCTTTCATTGAGAGACTTTAACTCCTTTACGTCTTTTGGGAAATCGCAGACATTCCTCGTCACACAAAAAAATGTTTAGCCCTTCGTCAGGAGCTACGAAGCTTTCCTGTTGACAAAAGACGAGAGTCATTGTCCCACACAACAATCGGTCCAGAATTATGGCGAAGGAGAAGGAGAAAGTGAAAAGGAAGAAAAAAATGTATCTGTTTTCTTTTCTCCCTCGAATCGTCTCTCTTTGTGTCATACAGAACAGGGATGTCATGCAAAAGGGACCAGGGTTTCCCCTTATCATGCAGATTTTGTATATGATTACATGAAAATACAAAATGTGCGAGTGTCAGGCATGATCTGACAACTGTAGCCATGAATTCTCTCCAGGGAACTAGTGATCGTTAGAACTTCGATGCCTGGTGTGATATGTGTGCCTTCAGAACGAGGCGCAGGTGCTGCTGCCTCGTTCTCGCTCGCTTTGTGAACGAGAGAAAACGAGGGACTTCTCGCTCCTCGCTAATCATTACGGCAGTGGACGTGTTACAGGGGTGTATGGGGAAAGAGAAGAATTCGTTGGTGTGTTCTGTTTTGTCTTGTTAAACGTCTTTCTTTTACAGTTTTGTTGTTTTTGTTTAATCATGTGTGTTTCATTCTTGTTACTCTGCTTATTGCTGTTATTACTATACTACTACTGCTGCTGCTACTGCTACTACTATCATTAACATTGTCGTCGTTGTTTATGCTGTTATTCTGTGATCGATACCATGATAATTACTGTTAACATTAATTTTGTTAATATCGTTATCGGTATTATTATCATTGTTATCATCCTTATCATTATCATCATTATTATTATTTCTATTATGATTATCATTATTATCATTATCATTATTACTATTATTATTATCAGTATCACTATTACTATTATTATTATTATTATCATTATCATCATTATCATCATTATCATTATCATCAATATGATAATCATTATTTTCATTATCATCTTTATTATCATTATTACTATTATTATTATTATTATCATTATTATTTCTATGATGATGATGATGATGATGATGATTCATTATTATTATTATTATTATTATTATTATTATTATTATTATTATTATTATTATTATTATATTATTTATTATTATTATTATTATCATTATTATTATTATTATTATTATTATTACTATCATTACTATCATTATTGTTATTATTATTATAGTTATTATTATTATATTGTTATTATCATTATATTGTTATTATTATTATATTGTTATTATTATTATACTGTTGTTATTATTATTATTATTATTATTAATATTAATACAGTTATGTCATTATTAACATTATCATTGTTATTGCTATTATCATTGTTATTAACAGCCTTATTACTATTATCGTTAGTATCGTTATGATTTTTTTCCTTTTTTTGTTATCTTTACTATTACTATTATCAGCAATTATAATTGTTCATTATTGTTGTTATTGTTATTACTATCATTATTGTTGTCATTAAGGCTTTTGTTACTGTTCTTCTTGCAAGTATCATTATCATTATGATCATCTTAACTGTAATAACGACAAAAATACCAGTAGGTAGGATAATCATAACAATAAAACAGAAGTCAACTTGAGTAAAAGTAAACGAAACGTGGATAAAACGCCGTAGAGTTTTTCACATGATGCTTAAGCCGCACGGATGAGCCTCGGGGAAACTAATGAAAAGATCAGTGGCAGCAATAAACACAAATCCAATAAAGGCACCAGCGCGCTTCCACCTTTGACAGGGAAACCTCTCCTCCCCTCCTCCAACTCTCCTCCCCTCCTCCAACCTCTCTCCCTCCTCCAAACGCCTCCTCCACCCCTCTCGCACCCCAAAAATAGGAGAGGTGAAGAAATAGGGAGTAGAGCACAATAAATACAGTGTTCGTTGTGATAATAATGATGATGATGATAATGATATAATGATAATTATAACGATAAGGATCATAATGATAATAACTGTTATAGCAAGAATGATGATAATAATAAAAATGATGCTAATGATAATTGTTATAATGATAATAATGATGATGATAGTGATAATGGGAATAATGATAGTAATAATAATAATTATTATTATAATAATAATAATATTAATAATAATAATATTAAGAATAATAATGATAATAATAAAAGATAATAATAATAATGAAATAATAACAATAAAAATGATAATGATGATAACAATAATAATAATAATGGAAATAATAATAATACTAATGATAATAATAATGATGATAATAATGATAATGATAATGATAACATCAATAATAATAATTCTAGCAATAATGATGATAATGATATAAATAACAATGATGATAATAATAATAATGATAATAATAATAATAATAATGATAATGATAATGATAATATTAACACTGATGATGATAATGTTAATAATGAAGAAGAATGAAAATAATAACGCTAATAATGATAATAATAATAGTAATGACTATGATGATCATCATCACCATAATGATAATGATGAGGATAATGATAATCTTGATGATGATAATAACAATGATGATAATGATAATAATAACATTAACTTTAATTACATTAATGATAATGATGATAATGGTAATAATAATGACGATGATTATGATAATGATTATGATAAGGATA